GATGTCGCGAATGTGCGCTGCGGACTTCATACTCGTTGGGAAATGCGATTCCATGGTCTGTGCCCGGAGCGTTCCCCCATTGTAATTCTGGCTCGAAGGTGTTCCTGTGTCATCGCTCGGAGCGTAGTTACATTGTGTTTTGCAAGCTTTGGTTGCTAATCGCCTTATAGTTCTGGCTCGAAGGTGTTCCTGTGTCATCGTTTGGTGCGCAGTTACGTGGTGCTTTGCAAGCTTTGGTTGCTAATCGCCTTATAATTGCTACTGCAGTGGTTTCCAACGTACTTTTTTCCAAGTTTTGCCGCTTTCATTTTTCTTATAAATCTCTTTTAAAAAACGCTTCGAAATCGCAATTTTTGGAGCTTGGACGTCGAGATCCGGTTTTGGGAGGCTATTCTCTGTGCTTGCGGTGCGCAGTTACATGGTGTTTTGCAATCTTTGGTTGCTAATCGCCTTATAGTTCTGGCTCGAAGGTGTTCCTGTGTCATCGTTCGGTGCGTAGTTACATGGTGTTTTACACGCTTTGGTTGCTATTCGCCTTATAGTTCTGGCTCGAAGGTGTTCCTGTGTCATCGTTCAGTGCGTAGTTACGTGGTGTTTTGCAATCTTTTGTTGCTAATCGCCTTATAATTGCTGCTGCAATGGTTTCCACCATGTCTGGTGTAAACCATGTCTGGTGTAAACGGTGTCTGGTGTAAACGCTGTCTGGTGTAAACTGTCTATGGTGTAAACTTTTTCTGGTGTAAACCTTTGTTGGCTTTGTCTGGTGTAAACGACGTCTGGTGTAAACCGTGTCTGGTGTATACGGTGTCTGGTGTAAACGCTGTCTGGTGTAAACTGTCTCTGCTGTAAACTCTTTCTGGTGTAAACCTTTGTCGGTTTTGTCTGGTGTAAACCTCGTCTGCGGTAAGACCTTTTTGTCTGGTGTAAACGGTGTCCGGTGTAAACGCTGTCTGGTGTAAACTGTCTCTGCTGTAAACTCTTTCTGGTGTAAACCTTTGTTGGCCTTGTCTGGTGTAAACGACGTCTGGTGTAAACCGTGTCTGGTGTATAGACGGTGTCTGGTGTAATCGATGTCTGGTGTAAACTCTTCTCTGGTGTAAACCTTTGTCGGCTTTGTCTGGTGTAAACTTTTCCATGGTTACTTCGTCTGGCGTAAACAACGTGTGGTGTAAACCGTGCCTGGCGACATGCACCATCATCATCATTATCATCATCATCATCATCATCATCATCATCACCTTCATCATCATCATCAGCATCATCATCATCATCATCATCCTTATCATCCACATCATCATCATCATCATTATCATCATCATCGTCGTCAGCACCATCATCATCATCATCATCATGGTCATTACCAGCAGCTACGTCATTGCAATCGTCATCGACCTCATCGTTAGCTCATGATCACAATAGCATATCACGGGCGTATCGTGAGATCATCATCTCATGGCACATCATATTTTCATATTTGATGTCATGTCATATTTTCTTTCACGGCATGACATTAACCGATAAAATTGTGCAAACAGAGCTCTATAGACATCTTTTTTTGTTCGATTGTTGGACTTGAATGATATTCTTTGCTTGTTGTGATTTGACCTGAAAGACCAGTTTCGTTTCCAGAGACATTGAGTCTTTTGAACAGGTTGAGCGGCAACAAGTGGGACCAAATGAAAGTGGACACCACGCAATGGAATTCCAGGAGGCCGGCATGTCGATGCCACATATAGTCACCAGCCACGAAGTTACAAGTATCGGCGAAAAGCTGTGAATTGGCTATTGCAAAGTGTCGTGACCAAACTGATTAGAAGGACCTGGGTCCACGACCGGAAGTTGTCCGAAGTCGACCCTTGTTCCAGCTGAACGTGCAGAGACTCCACAAGGCACGAGATCCACGACCGAGAGTTGTTCGAAGTCGATCCTGTTCCGACTGGGTGTGCAACTATATCTGATAACCGACAAAACAACATGAGTTGAACTGTGGGTAATTTGTTTTGTTTTTCAAGTGTTGCATTTGTATGAGCATTGGTTGTCCTGATGCCAGGTTGGGACGTGCGATTTCGCACACTTCGGCGGCTCTTACTACCGGGACTAGCGTTTGAGCTCGACCGGCGCTGGATAAAAAAGAATCGACCGGGACTACCGTTTGGGCTCCGAAGTACAGTGCAACAGAATATACATTAATAGATTTGGTAATAACGTGATAATAGTATCATAATCATAATGTATATATATATATATATAGATATATATATATATTATATATTGTGTCATCTCATCATCATCTCATTTTGTTTCATCTTAATGTTTTGAATCATCATATATCATCTCTTCATTTCTTTAGTGCTCATTCATCTTCTGTTACTTCGCTTTTCTTCCCTTCTATTTGTTCTCTTCCGCCTACTTGCTTTCGGGCCACCCTGTCGTCTAGTTTTTGGGGGGGAAGCGTGGAATCGGGGAAGGAGGCCGATCATGTATTGTTTCATATTGTTTATGTTTGTTTGGTAAGGAGAAGTTGTGGTGGTTGTTTCTTTGTGGTGGTTGTTTTTGCATACTGAGGATATAGGGGTTAGATGTGATGTGAAAACTGTCCCGCTCTATTTCACAGATTTGCATGTCACGTTTTCAAAACGGCTACACACCAACAGTGAAAAACACAGAGTTGTCTCCGATTCTTGAAGATTCAATATGAAGGCATCTAGGTACATCATGGTAAATCTATGTGATCATGAAGGATTCTGAATGTTCATTCTTTTAAAATTTATCCAGACGAAGCCTGCACACATCTTTTGAAGATACAGTCACAGTAGTTGATTTTGCGCCTGCTTATGGGTACCTGCCACTGTTTGCTCTATTTATTGATTACTGTAATCCAAAATCTCACCACAGTTTGATTACTGTATTGTGTGTGTTTTTTTAAGTGTGGTAGTATGCAGATTAATTTTGCATTAATCTGGGGGATGTTACATGGGCATACTGCAAAGGACCCCAGCATGTAGGATCTGTAGGGATGTTGCACAGCCTTGGAGAACGTGGGTAGTTTTAATATGTTTTAATTCTGACTGGCTTATATGTATATGATGATGATGACTGGAAACATACCAGTGGGTAGTTCTGTTAACATTCCAGTGGGTAGTTGTCATTTGATGATGACTAATGACTGGAAAGTGTTCACCGGCCCAGGCCCACAGTACCTGTATCGCCTGACAGCCCAACGCTTCCGTGGTCGCTGGTCAGCAGACAGGCCGATGGCCAGTCCCTGACCAACCGCGGAAGAACAAGTCCGACCAAGGGAGATCTCCGGATGCAAAGAACACAAATCCGAGGAGGGCACCACCCAAAGAGCGGATCTAAATGTGGTGTCCCAAAGTGCAAGTCGGCTGGAAACCGCTGGAAATGACCGTCTCTTGGCGCTTCTTTGAGCCGTTTCTTGGGGCTTCCGACAATCGATTGGCAACCCTTCGGGGCTTCCCGCACGAGGTAAAACCAAGAGTTTGACCGCCTATTCGGGAGTTCATTCATTTGTCCTCGTGGATCGAGTCAAAGTGCGCTCGGAGAGTGGCGAGTTGCCCAGTTTTTCCCTATTTGGGTGAGCTGAATGGAGAACAAAAGTAACAACACGATTCGAGCTGCATCCTCTCAATGAGATCCAATCAATTAAGTATAAACATATACCCTGGCCTTCAAAAGGCCATTAAAACAATATACTTATCAAGAAAGTACATTATGAAAATGGTCGATGCGTTCACGCACCTGCCCCCCCCAACATATGTATCTGAGACATGCTCTTGTTTTCTCACGCTCGGCCCTTCGCAATACGCATTGCCACTGATCGGTTGAGCCTGGGCATCCAAATGAAACAGTTCACCATGCACACATGGGCTCTGTGTTTCAACCATCATGAAACAAACCCACTCATATCCATGCGTGCAATCTTAATGGCCGAGGAACTGACTTATTTTCTTCTTGGTACTCCAAATCCTGATCGGTTGTGAGCAAAGGGGATTGAAACATTATTATGGAAACTCCTCGACTAAGCTAGCTAGCATTTGAGACAAACTCGGTTGGTCTGAATAAAACATTAAAAAAAACATGTTATTAATATTGACGCAGGAAACCGAAGCCGGCCACATCGGATAATCCAACGAGTGCGTTGAAACGGATGTGCTTTCGAGTAGATACCTTGGGTTCCACCACGAGGGATCTAATGAATGGGCCCTATGATCTAACATGAGGATAGGCCACCAAAGATTCAGAGCATTAACTGCAAACCAAACACCCTTGGTCCATGCCATAGCATCCTCGTCCACAAAGCAGTGCCAAAAGCGTGGGTTTGATCCTTACGTACTTTGCAAAACACTTCTCCAAAACATGAATAACAGCAAGCACTGACAGGTGCCCTTCATTCCTTCAAGGTTCGCCGGTCACGGACCAACTTGCAGATATGCATAAGTGCCTGGGTTTCATGCGGGGCATTCCATACCCCAGAAGCCCTTTCAATGCGCACATTTCTAGAAAGCAAAAGTCTGAAGGCCAAGATGCATGGAATTTTGGCCGGATGTAGAACTCCTGGACATTTTGCCTGGGACTGCTCAGCCATATTCCAGTCCCACAGTAGTTGCACGAAAGCGCATTTGATATATCGATCGATAGATCTAGATAGGGCAGTAAGTAGCTAGCATCCATGTCGTGTGGTAAGATTGTACTAGTACTGGGTTATCTGAAACGCAAAGACTTTAAACATGTTTTTGGCACTTACCGAGATTGTCCACATACTTCAGTACATGTGTGGCGCACCCCAAAGCCAAGCCTGAGTGCAATCATGGCCAACTTCTTCCAGAGGGTCATGAACTTCCGGCCGTCGACAAAGATCGCACGAGATTCCCGTTGAGTCCTGAGAAGTCACAGTCGGACCAAGCACAGCGCATAACTTAACGCACATACTTTGCCAAGGACAATCACAGTTTCTACACTAGATAAATCAATCGATCTAAGGGAGTTGAATCACAGACACAACATACACTTAAGACCCCATGCAAGCAAGCATGCAAGCTAGGGAATGCAGGCTAGGGTCAGAAAGCGCCCTCCGGCCTCGATGGCCAAAATGAAGCGACTCAGATGCAACCTGGGGAGGAGTCTCAGGGAGGTGATGGGTGTGGTACTTGACAGGTGTGTTCAACTTCTTTCACACGGAACGTGGTTGCACGCACCCTTGCACAGGCTAACCAAAAAATATATAGCATGCAGTACTACTAGCTAGCTTATAATTAATAATTATATCGACATCATCAATACCCAGGCCATGCGTGAGCGCGCTCCATGTAAGGAGCAAAGCTGGTTTCGATGCGAGGTGAGGGACATCTTGTTCATGACATTGGCTGCGACTGCTGATTAAGTCATCTTGAGCTCATACTATGGGACATGGAAGTGGACATGGAGCGAAAGCATTGCACCGTATAAAAATTTTAACGCATACCGCCCGCAAAATACAGGCCTAGGCACATAGCTAATGTAACGATGGGAGTGCGGGCATCCTTCGTGGCCAAAGCCTCCGGTAATGCAGTAAGAGTCTCTGCCAACCATTGCTGTACACATCGGCCATTGTAGGCTTTGCAGAGCATCAGGATGTCTCCGTTCTTTTGATACAACTTAGCTTCGCATGAAGTCATGCGTCAAAGTGTGTCAAAGCAGTGCTAGCTGCAAGCCTCTAGTCACTAGCGCACACTACTACCTCCACCCCACTAGCCACACTGCTGTCGCTTAGCGGCAAGATTTTCCTGGAAGGCTGGCTGACTGCAAGACACCTTCCTCGCAGTACACCAGCGCTTGAAGTGCAAGTACGCCCGGTGAAGATGGATGCGCTTCGCTTCTGAAGGATCGCCCCAAAGTCCAATCTGGATGAGCAAATTCCTGAGCCATCGGAAGCAAACATGTTAAAGTTGCACTGTGCAGGATTGCACATGGGCGACAAAGGCCACTTGTTCAGGTCCACCAGATTTAACAAGTAGTAAGCCTATACATCGATCGAGTCATATAGTTGATAGAAATTAACCTGAGAAAATAAGGTGCAGCAAAAGTGCATTGCCCCACCATTCATTGTGTAGAGTATTCCCAAATGCAGGACGTGCATAAGGCACCATTTGATGGTGGATGGGTGAAATGCTCGTAGCCCAATCAGCGGGCCTGGAAAGGGCTCTTTGGAGTCTGAGTGCATTGTTTCACTTCGAAACACAAAACATATTGGCTCTTCCAAGAGGGCCTACCAACTTATAACGTATAACCTTCTGTTATTCTCAACCAAAGGTGCACAAATCTCTTGCGGGGCATCTGTGGGCAAGAAATCCAACCACGGAAAATTCTTGGTGCGTGTCAACGTCAGGATCTGCCCAGAATAGTTTTCCATGATCTTGACATTGGGATTGCGCATCGCACAAATGACAAACATATTTCCCGTTCCAATGGGCGTCGCGAAATCGCCAGATTTTCTTCGCCCAGGACCAGTCTCCTCGGTGCTCTGTAACTTGAAACCGGCCAGACATTGGTTTGCCGGCAACTTCCCCTGCTTCACCTGCAAGGATCACCCCATATTGGTCACGCGCCGGAAATCTTCCATACCAGGCGTGATTGCAGCTCCATGTTATCCGTCGGAGGAAAACATTCAATGTCTTGGAGGTCATGCGTTCCTCCGGGATTGCAAACAGAAGGAAGCGGCTATATCGTACGCTTCGCGGTTTCCACAGCACCAGGTTGAGGAACATTGCCAGGATACTCTCGTGGCCGAACTTCGTGGCGCATCTGGCCGAGTCCCCATACAGGCCAATGGGGTAGATATCTTCTGAATCGACTTCCTGTGCCCAAGGCTCACCAAACTCTTTGGACAGCTGCCAAAACCTTTTTCGTTCGAAGGTAGGCACATGAAGCTTTCCCACACCGACTAAGTAGTGCAGGATGGAATGTGGGTCCATCATTGGCCAGCTCTCCATCAACACGATGATTTTGCCATCTCCGTCTTTGTATTTCACAGGAACATCGATGTGGACGACCTCCTAAGCTAGCCAACACATGGCCAGTGAAGTTCTGTAGCATAATTTATATTAATTACTCAAAATGTTGTTGAATTCAAATATGATAAATGGCGTCATGTTGGTGTTATACATGTTCCCAACTTCCCACCTACTACCATGGCTGGGCTTCCCTCAGGACAAACATTATAAGAGGTCAGGACCGAAGGTCGACCAACACACTGTACTATATATAAACTGTCACGAACTTTGTGAGTAGAGTTCATTCTATGCACCCTTGATGCATGGCAAGCAGCCTGAGCTAGTTTAAGACTAAAAGCCGCAAACAAGGTTCGGGGCCCTCATCAAGCAAACGCCACCAGTCACGAGAGTCGTTGCCTGAAGCAAGGAGTCCCAGCTTCTTGGTCAAGGGGTGTATCTCCTCTTTGTTGTGAGAGTCCTTGGGCCAACAGCATGTTGGAAGGCACCCTGGAGTATAAGCATACACATGGAACATGGCCCTCACATGTGGAAGCTTGATTATTCACAGCAAAAAGATGTATGACGCAGTGTGCAAAGGAATCAAACGATGTCAAAGTACTTCGTGCATGTCGATCTATTATAATAGAAGAAATGAACAAATGTGGCTCATTTGTCAGAGCAGCACTATGGCGTCCAAAGTAGGTTGTACTGTGGGTGCAATAGATAGGGTACTATAATCGTGTGTGCCTTTGAAAGCATAATTTTAGCACCGCCTTCTTAGAACCCACGGGCCTCTAAAAGAACATTTGCACACATGATCCTATAATACACGCGTGTATAATACATGCATGTGTATACATGTATAGTTCGTACCCTCCTTCCCACACCCTGCAGCGACGGACGGTCCAAGCATGTGCCCATGCCCAGGATCAAAGACATGGGCGCGAACGTGCTTCATGGCCTTCCCAACGGTGCTGCCCTAAGCTCATGGGGGACAACAGGCTGAGATTTCCAATCCGGGTCATGGAAAAACAGATGAATATGAACACATATTCCATTGGTCATGAATCCAACTACATTTTTTGGTGTTATTAAGTCTCATTGTATGGATCCCCAGTGGTCGACAGAGGTCATTTTAAAAGTTGGTTCCAAGTAGCACCACCGCATACTTCATCAACCGCGGTTTGAAGAACTCGACCAGGAACATCATCTCCACTAGCATCACCTGCGGAATGTGTGAGG